CAAGCCCTTGCTTTTGGTAGGCCAGGCGAGTTTCCGCAGATCACTGCTCTACCAGCCTTTCCCAAGAACTCACAGGCTAACTGGCAGGCTGGTGGCTGTGCATCTCAGACATGCTAGGTCACATCCAAGCTCAAAATGGTTTCCACTACTCCCCTTCCATATTTACAAGACTGTGTCCTCACCGGAGAACATCCACAGATCTAGTTCTAGCCCGGGTGGCACCCAGAGGTCCTGGCAGCACTTCCTGTCACCGTGTGCACAGCGATGTCATGACCTTTACCCCTGCCTTGCTCTGCATTGCATCTGTGTGCCTCAGCTGCCTCCCAGCCCCCAGCCAACCAGTTTATCGGCTTCTAGGGAGACTGGGACTACGGCTGTGTGTTGTTGTGCACACGGTGTGCACATACACGTGGAAGTCAGCCTTAGGCGTTGTCCCTCAGGTTCCTTGGCTTGAGACAAGGTCTCTCACTGACCTGGAACTTGACAAGTAGGCCTGGCTGGTTGGCCAGTGAGCCCCAGGGGTCTGTCTGTCTGTCTGTCTGCCTCCTCCACGCGATCACACCTGGCACTTTGACACAGGTTCTGGGGATTAAACTCCGGCAAACCTTTCACTGACTGAGCTGCGGCCTCAACACGGCAAGCATTTGTTTTGTTTGAAGAAAAGCCTGCACAATTCAGAAATGTGACGGAAAGTGGGCTACCCAAGAAACAGTTGGCCCTTTCCAAGGAGGCATTCTGAGGCTTCTAGTAAACTCGTGTACAGATCTTCTCCGCTAAAACGAGGGGATGGTACAAACGCAAGCCGGGGACCTCACTCCACACTTATGAGCCCACCTGAACATCCCGTTCCTCCCCCGGCCACATAGTGTTCCACTGCATGAACCCGCGTAATGAGCTTAACCGGTTCCTGGTGATGGTTCTCAGGGGTTGTGTAGGTTGTTTTCTATGCATGAGCGTTGCTCCAGTGACCACTTGATGACACAGGAATCAGTTCTCACTTGTGAGGTCACATCCGAAGGACAGATGACTAAAAAGTGGCAGGTCACATAGTTCTTGACAGACTTCTCCTGAGACAACTCCCTGTTCCGCAGCCCAAGCTGACATCAAACCTGCCACGCTCCCGCTTTCCCAGCGATGGGACAATGGGCGTGTGCCACTGTGCCCAGCTGGCGCCTCTCCTGGTGACAGTGGTCCAGATGCACACCCTCACCACTAACATGCGTGCGTGCGTGCGTGCATGCATGCATGCATGCTCGCACAGGGGCTGAGCTGTAAGCTAAGGAGACAGACAACTAGGAGTCTGGGTGGAGGCACACGCTTGTACTCCCAACACTCGGGAGACAGAGGCAGGCAGAGCTCTAGGAATTCAAAGCCAGCAGCGTCTACACAGTGAGCTCCATTGAGGTCTTGTCTCAAAAAACCAAGGTGAATGCCACCTGAGGAACACCCACGGCTGACCTCTGACCTCTACATTATGTGTACACATGAGCACACACACAAATCTACACCCCCCAAAAAAACCCCAAACACCTACATGTTTTAATTCTTTTAAATTTTGTTTGTTGTTTTTGAGACAGGTCTCATTGTAAAACCCAGGCTGGTCTTGAGGTGGTCTTTTTTTGGGGGTGGAGGGGGTGAACTGTAAGGTCTTCTGTGGCCTTAGAGCCAGTGCCTCACTATGTAGCGGAGGACAACCTTGAACTTCTGACCTTCCTTCCTGCACCTCCTAAGTACTGGCATTACAGTGGGATGCTATCAGGCTTGACTTTAATGCTCTCTCTCTCTCTCTCTCTCTCTCTCTCTCTCTCTCTCTCTCTCTCTCTCGATTTGCTTTTTTCAGACAGGCTGAAAAAAATAGATGATCTGGCTGTAAGTAGATCTCACTAAGTAGATCTGGCCGTCCTGGAACTCATTGTGGCCTTGAACTCAAGAGATCTACCTGCCTTCCACTCCCAGTGGTGGGATTAAAGGTGTCTAAGTGTCCATCAACATGCCAAGCTTTTGTGCTTTTTCTTAAAAACAAAATAGTTAAAAAGCAAAGGCAATAAAAACAAGTTGTGTAAATGCATATGATCACCAGTTACACAAAAAAGAAGAAAAACAGTTATTGCCATGTTTTTTCTTTTAAAAGTTCCAAAATGGGCAGGCGGTGATGGTGCACAATTTTAATCTTGGCACTCAGGAGGCAGAGGCAGGAGGATCTCTATGAGCTCAAGGCCAGCCTGGTCTACAAAGAGTTCCAGGACAGCCAGGGCTTCAGAGAGAAACTGTCTCGGAAACAAAGTTCCAGCATGGCTCGGGAGAGAGCTCTGTCATTAAGCAGAAGGACTTGAGTTCGATCCCCAGAACTCAAGTGAAAAATCCAGGTATGGTGGCTTACACTGGGAAGGTAAGAATCGGATGGCTCCCTGGGCCTCACTAGGTTATCTTTGCCTAATAGCTCCAGGCCAGTGAGAGACTCTTTCAAAACATTAAGGTGGGGTGTGTGGTGGGGGGTTGCAGAGATGGCTCAGAGCTTAAGAGTGCTTGCTGATCTTACAGAGGTCAAGAGTGGGTTTCTACCACTCACCCTGGGCAATGTGCAACTCCAGGAACTCCAGCTCCAGGTGAGGGTGAAGCAAGATGCCCTCTGCAATACCTGCGAGTGCATGTGCACGCGTACGAACATCTTTTAAAAAAGCATTAAAATTTTTAAAAACAAAAAAGGCTTTTGGTCAGTGTATGAGAATCAACACCTGAGGCTGACCCCTGACCTCACACACAAAACACATGCATATACATACATACACACCAGTCTTTGGAGACTACGTAAGAAACTCATCAATGATCTCGTCTCAGATTAGGATAAGGTGGAAGTGGACTTTTTTCCCCCTTTTTATCATGTATCTTTTTGGTTTGCTGCTAGGGTCTGAACCCAGGGTCTTGCTTGTGACAGGCCAGCATTCTTCCATGGAGCTACACTGCTTATCACTAAAGCACTGCCCCGGGAAAGTTCTTTGAGAAGGGTCTTAGTCCTCAACTACTTAGTCCTGGCTGGCCCAGCACTTCCTATGTAAACCAGGCTGGCTTTGAGTCTTTGGTGACCAGACTCCCAAGTGCGAGGATTGTAGGCATTCACCGCCATGTCCACACCACTTGTGTGTGTGTGTGTGTGTGTATGTGTACATACATGCTGTGTGTGTGGAATATGCAGGTGCACAGAGGTCGAAGGATGATGTCAGAAGTTATCTTCTATCAGTTCACATCTTTTTTTTTCAAATTAGATTTATACATTTTATGTGTTTTGTCTGCATGTATGTGTGTGTACCACATGTGGAACTGGAGTCACAGATGGTTGTGAAACATGTGAGTTCCGGGACTTGAACCCGAGTCCTCTAAGCAAAAAGTGCTCTTAACTGTTAAGCCAACTCTCCAGTCCCTTGTTTTTTAAGATTATATTTTTATTATGTGTGCTGGTGGCTATGGAGCCAGAAGAGAATGTTGGCTCCTCTGGAGCTGGAGTGACAGGTGGTTGTGAACCACCCAACATGGGAATCCAACCCAGGTCCTCTGAAGAACAGCAATCTCTGCCCCCTCACTGAACCTGGCCTGCTGACTGGCTGGAATCCCTGGGATCCACCTGTCATTGCTCCCCAGCTCTGGGGTTCCAGGCATGCATTGCAGTGTCTGGCTGGGGATCCGAACTCAGGTCCACATGTTTGCAGGATGATCACTGTACCAACTGACCCATTTCTCCAGAGCCCCATATTTGTTCAAGAGCTAAAATTACTGCTCGGCACAGCGGCACCTGTCTGTAGTCTCAGCTGCTCGCGGGCCAAGGCACGCACAGCACAAGGCCTGCTGGGGCAGCTTAGGAAACTCCCCAAGACTTCAAAGGGAGCCGAAGGTACATACTTCAGTGGTGAACACTTGCCTAGTGTGAGGCCTTGGGTTAATCCCTAAGTTAAAAAACTAACCAAACAAGGGGAGATGGCTGGAGAGGTGGCTCAGAGGTTAAGAGCACTGGCTGATTTTCCAGAGGTCCTGAGTTCAATTCCCAGCAACCACAGGGTGGCTCACAACCATCGGTAATGAGATCTGGTGACCTTTTCAGGCCTGCAGGCATACATGCGGGCAGAACACTGTATACATGAAAAAGAAAACAAAATCAGGGAGGGATTCTCTCTCAGTCCTTCGGGTCATTTTAGTCTCTGGGTTCCTGTAGTATAAAGCAGATCATCAGGAAAGGAGGGTTCTCCTGAGCCCGGGAGGTGCAGCGGTCAGTCCTTGGAAAAGGACGTCTACGGGACCTATGACTGCCATTTTCTTGACTACAAGTCAGTCTCATTCTCAGCACCTCCCTCTCCCTCCTCCTCTCCCTCCCTGCCATCCTGAACTCAGCCCCTGAGAGCCAGGGAGGCCCTGAGGCAGCAGAACCCAGGCTTGAGGGACACAGGCTGGAGGAAGGACGCTGCTCTCACCAGACAGGGGTGAGGTAGTGGACGCATCTGGCACCAGCGCCACCTGCTCCTGCAGGAGCTCAATCACACCGTTATTCACTGCTCCCGTCAAGGGGCGGGGTTGGCGAGGGGCACCACCGTAACCTTCAGCTGCCCGGCAGAGTGGCTGGCAGCTGGGGGGTCTCTGCTCTCAAAGTCAGTACTCCCTCGCCAAGGAGCCTTTCCTACAGGGAACAGCTGCACTTGCTCATCCTGGCTTCCATGGTTCAATTTGGTTCTAAAACTAGGCACCAAGGGACAACTGACTTGGGAATCATCGTCATTTAAGCCCAGAACAAACTGTCCGAGTGACTTCTCCCCGAGAGGCTCAGAGAGAGATGCTGAAGTCACTTGCCGCTGTGAAACACAGGAAGATGGATGAGGTTGCTTTTATTTATTCTCCTATAAAGATGGCCGCACCCACTGTGCTGGGTAACCTCAGGTGAACACTAATTATGACCAGAGACTGGTCCTAGCCGGATTCGGGGAAGGGGGAACAACAAAAACCTCCAAACACTCAAACAAAGGAAAAACATTTTTTTCTTTTAAGAACTTCAAATGCTACTTTCCCATCGACTTCCTTAGACTGGGCTGCAGCCCGAGGGGGAGGAGCCAAGGCTTTGGGCATGTTGAAGACACTGCAGTTTAGGGTACAGTGCCAAGCACGGGACTGAAACCGGTTTGCGTCGGATCTCAGGCACATTCCAAACAGAGGCAGCTTCTCAAGCGTCCCTAGTGCTCTCCCCTCTTCACAAACTCACGTCGATTTCCCTTTTCTGGCTGATGCAGTATAAAGTCCCCTCCTCGCTGCCCCTGCTCAGGTGACATTGCGGGGGAGCCTGGCAGCACCTGTGGCATCTGCTTCGCATGGAGAGGTGACAGACTAGTGCTGACATCCTCCTAAGACAGCCTCTGGGGTGGGCGTGCGGAGTAAGGCTCTTCAGGCAGCTGGAAGACAGGCGCACTGGAGAAAGACCGCTTACCCCTGGGAAACCGACAGCAGTTCTCCTGGGTCCTGGTGAAATGGCCGAACGAGTCAGTCCACATCACCAGGAAAGACCAAGGAAAAACAGCTTTCCCTCAAAAAACAGTGAGAGAAGAAGCCACACCTAGTTAGGATGGCCCGAAGTGATACGCATACATTTCTTTTTGTTATTATGTCTAAGTGTACATCTCCTAAAGTCCAGTTACTAGGTTGAACTGAATGGGACAGAAGAGAGAGGCCAACTGGAATTTCCCTCACGAGTTCACGGCTTCGGCCTGAGAGGTCCTCGGTTTGCGCTGGGGGAGCCCCTTTTTGAACGAAGGCTTGGGTGGACTAGGCACGGCGCTGGCTCCAATCCCATTGGTCCCTGCAGAGTAAGCGGGGCTCCATTCGGAGTTTCCTGGGGCCTGAGGTGGAGTACTCTGATACCGGGACCCCGATGAATACCACGAGCTGTTTCTGTAACGACCCACACTGTCATGCCGCCCTTGGTTTGTGGGGTCAGTGGTCTTTTGGTTTTGTGGCTTGTAGCCTTGTCCTCCTCGCCTGTTGCCTGGAAATACCTACAGATAAAAAAGTACAATGTTCACGGTGCCCTGTTGTCATCATGTCTGATCTCCCTGCCCACACCTTCCCTGCTGAGGAGGGAGGCCTGCCTCTTTAAACGCGTACAGGAAGGACGCGAACACAGAAGAGTCACGGGCTCTGAGTCCGACAAGTGTTTGATCACATAGATCCCAAGCCACCTATAATGACATGAGCACGTGTGTGGTGTTTGAATGTAACTGTCCCCGTAACCTCATAGGGAAGTGGCACTTTTAGGAGGTGTGGCTTTGTTGGAGGAAGTGTGTCACTGTGGAGGCAGGCTCATATATGCTCAAGCCACACCCAGTGCCTCAAACTACTTCCTGTTGCCTTTGTGGCGAGATGTAGGACTCTCAGCTCCTTCTCCAGTGCCATGTCTGCCTGCAGGCCACCATTCTACCATGATAATGGATGAAACCCCTGAAACTGTAAGTGAGCCACCCCAATTAAATGTTTTTCCATTATACGAGTTGCTATGTGGCTCACAACCATATATAATAGGATCTGATGCCCCCTGCCAGCAAGCAAAGTGCTCATACATAAAATATAGATGAAATTAAAAAAAAAAAAAGTTGCCATGGTCATGGTGTCTCTTCACAGCAACAGAAACCCCAACTAAGACAGAAGTTGGTACCAGGGACGGCGTATTTCTGTGATGGACCTGACCATGTTTTGGTTTGAAGGAATATGGATCTTGGGACCGTGGATTAGGAAAACAGTTGAATGCTGTAAGTGCTGCTGAATGGGCCTCCTAGTCGGAGCACGGAGGATCTGCCTGTGGGGGCTGGCTCAAGACGTTTCGTATGTTACCTAGAGCGCATTCTTATGATATTTTGGTGAGGAAGGTGGCTGCTTTTTGCCCTTGTCTGAAGAGTCTGGTTTTGGATTAATTCCGTTGCCAGAGGAAGCCCTGAAACACACCTGGCCTAACAGGTGTGAGCAGATGGCCGTCTGCTTCGCTGTGTATTACAAGCTGCAGATCACACCACGCGGCTGTGAGTTAGCACACCTTTCACACTACAGTCCAGGAAGCTCAGAGGATTGGCTTTTTTTAACGTTCCAACTCCAGTGTTCTATCCGTTGTGCAGAACTGGTGACAGACTGCTCGTGTTTGGCTTTCAAACCAAGGGAACCAGACTCTGGATCACTCTCCCGCTTTCTAGAGTCTGCTCACCCCACCAGGCTCACTTCTTCTTTCCCCGACATGCTCACACTGGGTTTCTTGAGTCTTGCAGCTTTCAGATGCATGGTGGGGAACTTGACACTTGAACTGCTTGTCCATCTGGAGATGGGTGTACAACTCCCAGTGTGACCAACTACCAGACGGTACGACCCACAACAAACTGCCAACAAACCAAAGGCAGCTCTCTGAGGCAACAGGCCGTCTCAACTGGCTGGTGGTTTGGATACCATCTCAAATGCTTTCTTGGGAACTAATGGAGCCGAGATGGAACGGGACTAGAGAGGAAGGCAATGCAATGAGCTATCAGCACTTAAACACAACAACCAGGTGTCCCCTGACATGGTCGGTATGAAAGACATTACCTCCCGATGAGCCTGGCAGGGCCTGTCACTGGGGTTTGTCACGGCTGCTGAAGTCTCTCCTGGGGCACAGTTTCTCTTGTTAGCACCTGGAAGGCTGGGGACAGAGGCACACGGCGAAGAGGAAGCAGCAGGACCATCACCCGGGCCACTCAAGGACATGGACACCACTGAGCTGCATCGAGATCTGCTTGAATAGCTGTTCTTTGGATGGGACACTGAAACAGACACATGAGGACTATGTTGTGGTCACATGATGCATTTCACAGTGAGCAGTTTCAGGAAGAGAAGCTGGCGTATCGACTCACTGGGTAAAAGCACTTGCTGCAGTTTGAAGCCCAGAACCCATGTCGAGAAGAGAGAGAATCTACTTCACAAAGTTCTCCTGACTTTCACACTTGCATTGTGGCAAGCCACACCTTCCCACTAATAACAAATGTTTTAAAATGGTCCACCTGGCCGGGTGGCGGTGGCGGTGGTGGCGGCGGCGGCGGCGGCGGCGGCGCATGCCTTTAATTCCAGCACTCGGGAGGCAGAGGCAGGTGGATCTCTGTGAGTTCAAGGCCAGCCTGGTCTACATAGTGAGTTCCAGGACAGCTAGGGCTACACAGAGAAACCCTGTCTCAAAAAAGAAAAAAAGGAAAAACAAAAACAAAAACAGTCCATGTAATGGCCATAAGGAAAACCTATAAAATGGCTACCAAGAAGGAAAGAAAGGAAGCCTCCTCCTCCCAAACCCAAGGCTCGTGCAGAATTTTGAGACAAGAGGACAGGCTCAGATCAAACCACACCCACCCTCCACTGATGTTTCTCAGCATCCTCTCAACTCCTGGCTGTAGTGCCAGCAGAGTAAACCTGGGGACCACAGGCCAGGCTCTATGTCCTACAGGGCAGATTTTACAAAGAAAGAGAGATGTAAACAAGCAAATCTCTGCTAAAGCCTTTTTTTAAAAATGAATGATGTAAGGGAAAGATAATCAAGGTCAGTTAATTATAGACAGAACCCGTCTTTACAACAAACACTTATCTCAACAAATTTCTTTCTGCAAAATAACCCCAAATTCAATATTCCAATATAACTGAAAAATATTATTATTCAGTTCAAATGTCCTCAGATATCATAGTTTGAAGCACTCCGATTTCTTCTTGGGCTAGGACAGGTTAACAGTCATTGCTCTCTTTTTTGTTTTGTTCTGTAGTGCTGGGGAGCAAACCCAGGCTAGGCAAGTGCTCCCCACTCCCCACCCCCAGTCTCAACACTGATTTCATCCTGAGAGGAAGAAGAAGGTAGTAAGTTCAGAGCCTGATCTGTTATTAATGTATGCCTCCATACTCTCTTTGAGGCACTGTATCCCCTCCCACTTAAAAAACATTTTTATTTTGGGTGTGTGTTTAGCTTGAATGTATGTATGTGAACCATATACATGCCTGGTGCCCATGAAGGTCAAAAGAAAACACTGAATCCCTTGGAACAGGAGTTAAGGATGGTTGTGTACTACCCTGTAGGTATCAGGAACTGAACTCAGGTCCTTTGTAAGAGCAATAAGTGATCTTAAGCACCGAGTCATCTCTCCAGCCCCAGAGAGACTTATTTTTATTTATGTTTGTGTATTATGTGTCTGTGTGTGTACAAGTGCCCACAGAGGCCAGAGGAGGGACCACTGGGGCTAGAGTTATGAGTGGCCATGAGGCATCCCATGTGGGTTGTGGGAACTGAACTCTGGTCCTCTGGAGCAGTCCTTTCAACCCCTGAGCTATCTTTCCAGCCCCAGCTCTTTCCCACTTTTAATGCTATTACTTAAGGCCTATTATGTGCCCAGCAAGGCAGGAATTACGGTCTGTTTGAAGAAGAGTAAAATGATGTCCAGAATATCAATGCTGAAGCCAAGAGTCACCTCCGTCTGACTCCTGAGACCCCTGCTCTTCACACTACCACACACCTCTCAACTCAGTAGAAAATAAGGACAAAGTACTCTGCTGGGTGTTGGAGAACAGGTCTATATTCCCAGCACCTGAAAGTTGGAGGCATGAGATTGGAAGTTTAAGGCCAGCCTTGGAGACTCAACAAGGCTGTAGCTAGTCTGGGCTCCAAAAAAACCCAACAAGGGTTACTTCAGGACTGTCAAATACTAACTAGTCTTTAGAGTTCCAAGTCCTTGCAGCCCCAGACTCCTAAGTGTCCCAGTGACTTTTCACACAAGTCAAGAGGAACTTCGAGCTCACAGAGGAGGCAGTCAGCACGCCTGCCCACCACCAGGACAGTCTCCTCGGCATTCTAGTGTCCAGAATTTCTCACCCTCTCACCTTGTCCAAATGAATCGATACTCTGTTTCAGAGTCTCCACATCACAGGTGAACCGGGCTACCCTTCCAAGATCTTCATCATATTTCCGCTCACTAACAAAGTGCTGGAGAAAAGACAGAAAAGCTTCCAGGTAAGAGACGTACTCAGAACCAAAACCACACACAAGTGAAGAGTATTATCTTTAATTGTCTCATTTCTACTGCTTCAAAGTTTGCTAAAGGACCACTCTATTACCAGTGCTGGGTAATCAGACAAATACATTCATTTTTAAGAGTCCTAAGATAAGCCTGATAGTTTTATGAAATGTTATTAATGGCCAACACCCAATGGTATAACCCCAAGGAATAGTAAGGAAGGAGAGAAAAAAGAATTTATAGCAAAGGATCATCTTCCCCCTGGGCTAGTCTCCACAATTCCATTCTGCACTGAAGCAGAGGCGGCCAGAGTGACCATAAGCTCCGACACTGATCCCGTTTAGTAGACGGTTTGTTATCCTCTAGCAGGATCCACTGAGAACAGACGCTTGGTCTCCTGATCAAACAGGATTTCAGAGTCTCTGAAATAGGAGCATTTTCTTGAGATGGAAAACCACTCATGTGGAAAGGCAACTCTGGAAATGAGACATTTATGCTGCAAGTGATTTAATCCTTTTCTTCTAAAGGCAGACTGAGGTGAGAAGTAACCAGCCCCTTGGGTCAAAAGCTGACTACATACACTATGGAAACTATGGGATGAGAAACATGTCCAGAATGAAGCACTTCTAGGATCTATTAAGTCAACCATGTCTAGGTGGCCGGGATCACTCCCCCCCACCCCCACACACCAGATAAGTAGACGAGAAAGGAAAGTTAAGAGCTCAGAGACAATGTGCAACTGAACTCCTCCTCAGACCTCCTAACCGGGGTAGTCTACTCCCACTTCAAATGCATCAGAATTCTTGGAATGCATCCAGAAATACCAACAGGGAAAGAAGAGAGAAGAATTACCCTGAGACTTGACATCTAAAAATTGTGAATACACTGCAGCTCAGGAAGGCGTGCAGGCCTCCTGTAATGGCGCTTTCCGATACGGAGGAGCTGTCTGGTATTAATTCCGAAACAAACTCTAGGTTTGTTGAGCCAGAGCCGTAACAGCAATGACAGATGTACAATGATCTGGAACTGAGACATTCAAACTGCACAGCATCCACCTCAGTACGTTACCAGCGTGGAGAGAAGCAGGTCCTTAGTCAGCCTGCAGACATATTTCTAGAAACCTTTCAGCCTCGTAGGAAGGAGAACAGATGAAGCCTATGGGCGCCAGAATTCCCATCTAATTACAAAGGGATTTCTGGTTTCTCCAGACAGCTGAATGAGACTGACTGGCATCATGAGGGAAATGTTCTATAAAATTCTGTAATGTGCTGTTAGTTAACAGGAAATAGTGACTTTAAACCTCCTTCTTTGGCTTTTATCCCAATCGTTTCTCAGGGGAAGTGAGGGACAAGGTTTGTATGAGTGCTGTAAAAAACGGTGCCTGATGCCCGATGCCTGGAAGGCTCAGGGTTACCTCACACCTGTGTCTGGGCTTTCTTCGGGCCCTTGTGAGCCTCACGGGAAGCATTCCTCTCAAATATGTCAATGAAGTTCACGTGTTCATAAGAGCAGAGGTGAAAGCTTAGGAACGGAAAAGGTCATCTCCCACTCCTTGCTCAAAAAGCTTTCTGTTTATAAACAATGATTTAGAACACACTGTCTATGGGTACCTACAAATAATCCAGCTTCTCTTAGGGTCACACGCTTAGTCTTAGAAATACACTTTTTTTTTGTTTGTTTTGTTTTTTTTTGGTTTTTTGAGACAAGGTTTCTCTGTGTAGCTTTGGAGCCTTTCCTGGAACTCACTCCTGTAGCCCAGGCTGGCCTCGAACTCACAGAGATCCGCCTGCCTCTGCCTCCCAAGTGCTGGGATTAAAGGCGTGTGTCACCAACGCCTGGCTGAAATACATTTTTAAAATTATTTATTTTTATTTTATGTGCAATAAATTTTTGCTTGCCCATATGCATGTGTGCCTGTTGCCCAGGGAGGCCAGAAGAAAACACTGGAGCCCCTGGAACTGGAGTTACAGACAGTTCTGAACCACCACATGAGTGCTGGGAACTGAACCTGGGTCCTCTGGGGAAGCAGTGTTAAGGATTCTAGTATTCATCCTAAAAGTTTGATACGATGTGAAGCAGGCTGCTGAAGTATGGGAATCAGACATGGGGTGGCAAGAACAGGACCGAGGAGAACACAGAGACTCAAGTAAGCCTACTTCTGAAGGCTAAGCAACAGAGGGCGGCCGCTCGGGCTTTGCGGAAAATGGACCTGAAAAACAAGTCAATCTGAGATCCAGCAGTAGGTCCAAGGACGTCAGGGTCCCCTGACAGATGTACTCTGAGGAATGGAGACGTTTCCTAAGACTCCCTACCTAGACAGCTGAGGGAGGACAGAACCATTTAAAGAAACCCAAGTCTGGAAAGGGCCACGCTGGGAAGGGAAGCTCGTGGTTTAGCGGCTGCGGTGCAGCCGTGACTTCTGGAGAGCTGCTGCTCCTGGGAGTCTGCGAAAGGCAGAGAGGAGGAGAAGGGAGTCTCACCTTGATGTCAGCCCTGAGTTCCACCAACTGCTCCTCTGACATGCGGACGGCCACATCTGTCATCTTCTTCAGAACCTCCGCTTTCTTCTGCCGGCCGAGCAGGATCTCCACTGCGGAGGAACAAGGAGCAAGACGCTTATGTATGCTGAGTTAAAGAGATACAGAAGGGCCTACCTGCACACTCGTCCAGAAAACAGAAACACCAAAGAGCTAGTTTCCACCTCAGGGGTCCCTGACGGCAGTCAAGACAAACATTTATGAATAACAAAGATTTCTAAAACCACTTGCCATTTCTCTCGCCTCTTCCTACCCCAATTTTTTTTCCTGAAAAGCATATAAATTAAGACAGAAACATATACATAACATTTGACACAAACTTCATTTTCTCCAGCAAACAGGTACAGCAGCTCAGAGAGCACTGACAGCTTCCTGTGGGAACTCCAATTCTGCCCACGCATGCACAGCACAGACCTCTCTACGTAAGTGGAGTCTACAGAACACACCATCTTCTCTTTATCTCAGCACTGCCAGTCTGCTGTTCAGGTCTCCCTCGGTCATCTACTCTACAGATACACCCCAATGATTTAGCACATCTACTAACGATAGTCCTTACGCTTTAAAGCACCTGTTCCTATGGCTATGGTAAATAACAGACCAAAAAAAAAACAAGGCTCCTCCTCCCATGGACAGTGGGCAGAGAAACCTTAGGAGGCAGAGCTGGGGCTGTCAGATGAATGCCTCAAGCAACATCAGCACCAGGCCAGGGGCTGCTGCTCCTCTCTAGCAAGGCTGTTCTGTGACAGCATTTCACTCTGTAGCCCAGGCTTGTCTGGAACTCACTATGTAGACCAAAGATGGCATGGTAATCCTTTGCCTCAGCCTTCCAAGTACATAAGCCTTGGAACTCTACACATAAGCCATTATGCCCAGCTCTGTCCTGCAAGGTTTGATCTTTTTTTTTAATGTATTTTTATTTTATGTGTACTGGTGTTTTCCCTCATGTCTGTGTGAGCAAGTTGGGTTCCCTGGAACTGGAGTTACAGACAGTTGTGAGCTGCCATGTGGGTGCTGGGAATTGAACCTGGGTCCTCTGGAAGAGAGCAGACAGTGCTCTTAACCACTGAGCCATCTCTCCAGCCCCTGATCATTGTTTTTCTAAGTGAGAATTTTTACTGTAATTATCCTCTTCTCCTCCTCCTCCTCATTCTCCTTCCTCTTCTTCTTCTTCTATCAATGTAACACAGAGGAAGGGACATTTTCTCTTGTTTTAGTTTATGGACCCAATCCACAACACACTGTATCAGGGCCTGATGAGAGCTTTAGGTATTCAGAGGATGTGGCCTTTCAGACAAAAGGACTAACCATTAGGTTTCGGAGGCTTTGCCATGGAGAGAAAACTGGGGATATATTTATCCCACTTACTTAATAAATAATTTTTAGCTTTTTACTTTATAAACATAAACACATATGTCTGTGCACTATGCTCATGCTCTCAGAGGCCCCAAGAGTCACTGCATTCCTTGGAACTGGAATTAACAGACAGTTGTGAGCCACATGTGGGTGCTGGGAATTAGAGCCATGTCCTTTGCAAGAGTAGCCAGTGCTATTAACTGCTGAGCCACCTCTCCAGCCCCAAAAGATGTGTTTATTTTGAAATAAAGAGGGTCACTGGCAGCTGAAGCAGAGAACTGTGGCAAAGTCTGTTAGTCAAGTGAACATACATGCCCCTTCTCCTTGTCTTCCTCTCAAAAGGGCAATGGTAAGCTAGGTACGCTGACTCATGCCTGCAATCTGAACATTTGGGCAACCGAGGAAGGATTGTGATTTCAAGGCTAACCTGGGCCACATACTGAGTTCCAGGCTGGCCTCGCTACACAGCAAGATCCTGTCTTAAGAAGTCAAACCAAATTAACCAAACCAAAATAAAAATGTTGAATACCAATGTTCTTAGGTAAAAACCAATGTATTCAATAGTTCAGTGTTCAGCCACAGGTACGAGCAGAGACCCCAGGGTGGGGCACACCGGGAGGCTCGAGTTTAAAGCAGTGGAAAGAATCCTGTAATGTTTACTCCTCCCTTCCTGAATCCTTATGCGTTATCTTCGGAGAAGAACACACTGTAAGGATGGTGAAGTGAGAGGACAGAGGAGCCGGGTCCCCAGTGTCACGTTAGAGACGCCCTGCTAAGGGTGACTGACTCTCTCTGGACGTCTTCACAGGAGAAGAGTAACACGTTTACTTAGGTCACCACCGTATGCAGTCACTCCACACCTAACCGACACCACACACAAGAGCTCAGCCAATGAAGCGCTTGCCCGGTAAGCATGAAGATCTGGTTAAATCCCGAGACCTGAAGAAAGCCAGGCGCAATGCCCGTGCACAGGGAGGCCAGATGAGAACCTTGGGTGTCGTTCCAGACACCAACCACTTCTTTTCTCTTCTTTTTCCTTTTTTAGTTCTTTTCCAGACAGGGTTTTTCTGTGTAGCCCTGGCTATCCTGGAACTCATTCTGTAGCCCAGGCTGGCCTTGAACTCAGATCTGCCTGCCTCTGCCTCCCCAGTGCTGGGATTACAGGTGTGCGCCACCACTGAGAGGCCAACCACTTTTTTCCTCAAGGTCCCTCATTGGCCTAGAAGTCAATGGGTAGGTGACATGGGCTGCCAGCGGGTGACAGGGTGTCATAGCATGTGCCACTACAGCAGTGAGTAATGTGGTTCTGGAGCCCAAACCTGAGCCGTCTCCCACTGGTGACTGAGCCGTCTCCCCTTGATGACTGAGCGGTCTCCCCTTGATGACTGAGCCGTCTCCCCTTGATGACTGAGCCGTCTCCCCTTGATGACTGAGCCATCTCCCGCTGGTGACCGAGCCGTCTTCCAAGCCAACACTTCCTCTCACTCCTTCTTTCTGTCTGGGTTTGTTTGTACGCATATGAGGGTTTGCCCACATGTATGCCTGTGGAAAACGTGTGCCTAGTGCCTCCGGAGACCAGAAGATGGAGCTCATATTGCCCTGGAACTGGAGCTCCAGTCAGCTGTGAGCCGTCCTGTGGGTGCTGGGAATGAGCTCTGGTCTTTGTCAAGATCAAGCACTCTTAGGCGCCGAGCCAGCTCACCAGCCCAACACTGACCTTCTCACAGCTACAAAAGATCTGTTGGTCTGGCTCCCAAGATGAACGCTCACCTGTCATTCACATCAACCTCAGTTCTCAACCTCCAGCATTCTGGGGTTTTAATGCAAAATTATAGATTTCAAGATGGAGAAAATACATTTAGTAAGGATTTCAATTTTTTAAATTTAGTTTTATACGTGGGAGTGTTTAGCTTGCATACATGCCTGTGTACCATGTGCATGCAGTGCCTCAAGAGGTCAGAAGGGGGCCTGGGAACCCTGGAACTGAAGTTACTGGGAGACAAGGTGCATGTCAGTGCTAGGAATTGAACCCGGGTCCTCTGGAAGAGCAACCAGTGCTCTTAACCATTGAGCTCTCTCTCCAGTCCCTCAATAAACACTTCCATACACATCATTTGACTTGGAAAACCAAATTAGGGCTGAAAAAATGGCTCAGCAGTTAAGAACACTGGCTGGTTGCAGAAGACCCAGGTTTTAGTCCCAGCACCCACATCATGGCTTACTCTGTAATTCCAGTTCCAGATTTCTGAGGCCTTCTTCTGGCCTCCCTGGGCACAAGGCACCCATGTGATGGAGCATAAATATATACATATATTTATGGAGCTCATGTTTTAGCTAGACTGGCTGGGACAGTGCGCCCTTGAGATCTACTTGACTCTGGCCCAGTCCTGGGTTCCAGACCCAGGCCCCACACTCAGCTTTCAGGTGGGTACCGGGGTCTGAACTCAGTGCCTCCTGCTTGTGCAGCAAGCCCTTCCTCACCCCACAGCTCACCTCTCCAGCCACCTTCCACCTCACTGTTTGACACAGGGTCTCTCACTGGGATCCAGGCCGCACCAACTGGCTGCATTGCCTGGCCACTAAGTTCCAGGCATCTGTTTCCTCTTCTCCAGAGCTGGGGTTACAGATGTGTGCCATCATGCCCAGCTTTTAATGAGGCTACTGGTGCTTCTAACGCATGTTCATGCTAGAACAACAAGAACCTTACAGACTAAGCCATCTTCCTAACTCCCTAAAAGACACACACACTTGTTTGTAGGTATATATATTTATGTATGTAGTATCCCTATTCTTACTAGTTTGAGGTTAGGTTAAAAGAAACAACCTTCTGGGCTGGAGAGATGGCTCAGAGGTTAAGAGCACCAACTGCTCTTCCAGAGGTCCTGAGTTCAATTCCCAGCAACCACATGGTGGCTCATAGCCATCTGTAATGAGATCTGGCATCCTCTTTCCTGTACATAATAAATAAATCTTAAAAAAAAGAAAAAAACCTTTCTAAGTAAGTGTGGTGTTCAATGCATAAAGATCAATCCACCACGGCCCAGTGGAATGGCTCAGAGGGTGAAGTACCAGCCATGCAAACCCGACAACCTGAGGCCGATCCCTGAATCCCATGGCGGAAGAAAGAACCAATTCCTTAAAGCTTTTTTTTTTTTTTTTTTTTTGTTTTGTTTTTTTTTCAAGACAGGGTTTCTTTGTGTAGCTTTGCGCCTTTCCTGGCCTTAAAGCTTTCTCATGACCTCCACACTGTGCTGCACACCTGCACTCAAAAAACCACAACCACACAAATGACCCAAGTTAGACTTCATTCCTCCAGAGTCTATTTTAATAAGCATTCATGGCATCTTGAATGCCCCTCCCCTACTCGCTGATTACAGACACTGAATGAGAATTATCCTAAAATGGAAAAAAGAAAGAAATTCCCTGACAGCAGATGACAAGAACACACTCAACTGTAGGAGGTGTGGTGATGTATCCTCTGAATATCCTAATGTTTTAGCTTTATCAAAAACAAAAGAACAAAACAAAACCCAGAGAACCATCTACTCACTAGAAAGAAAAGGTAAACAAAAGGAAGCCCAGGCACCTGCAGGCGCTTTATTTTCCTAAGGTCGATGCTATGGCAGCAACACCATGACACAGTATTTGTAGATTAAATTCTACATTGAGGGGCTGGAGAGATGGCTCAGAGGTTAAGAGCCCTGGCTGCTCTTCCAGAGGTCCTGAGTTCAATTCCCAGCAACCACATGGTGGCTCACAGCCATCTGTAATGAGATCTGGTGCCCTCTTCTGGCATGCAAGACAGAACACTGTATATATATAATAAAGAAATAAATCTTAAAAAAAAAAAATTCTACATTGAGAATGCTAAAAATCTGGGGGAAAAATGTAAAAGATTCTTACCAAGAAGTAATATGTCAGCACAATACAACTGCTAAAAACTGACTAATTAAATTTATAAACTCATTTTTTGTAGTACTTAATACATAAACTATAAATGTTCATTCTAAACTCTGACAGAGAGGCAGCAACATATTGTCTGTATTGATAATAGTTTTTTTCAAGTCACTATGTAAACCAGGCTGTCCTTAAACACCGAGATTGGCCCGTCTCTGCCTTCCAAGTGCTAGCATTAAGGGCATGTGCCACCATGCCCCTGGCTCAGTAATAGCTTTAAATATCAATCGTCTTACTTGCTTCAGCTTTCACTTTGTCCATTTCAGCAAGCAATGCCACTTCTCGATCCATTAAACTAGGGGGAAAAAATGATAAAGAAAAAAGGGTTAGATGAGAAACTCAAATACCAAAATAGTATATAATTAATAAGGGGGAAAGACTAGCACATTTGTTCATAAAGCATACTGCTAAGAAACAATGTATGGACCACATGAAAGTCCAACCTTGTATTCACAACAAAGAATATTTAAAGATTCTCAAGAAAATAAATGGATCCCACTCCAGTTGTTCCATGGAATACAGCGAGCAAGGCATTAGAAATCCAGGTTAGATCCAGCAGATGGCAGTATCAAGTCACACAAAATTTCTCAGTTATGCTAGTGCAAGTACTTATGGAAATTATTTCCATAACTCTTATACTTTGGTTTATCTTTTAAAAATATATGGTCTCACTGTGTATCCTTAACTGGTCTGGAATTCTATGTAGACCAGGCTGGCCTCAGCCTCTCAAATACTGGGATTAAGATGTGCACTTGGTTTATACAATTTGAAAATTTTGCTTCTAATTTTACCAGGCCATAGAAAGTTGTTCAAGATTAGGATCTATATATTTCACATGTGAACACTGTACTGTTGCATCCAGTTCAACGGCACTATAATCCTTAGCATACAGATTAGTCCAAGCTGGTTTCTGATACAAAATTTAGTGATAATCAGAAAAGGTGGAATTAGAAGTTTCTTATAGATTTTTCCCTTCCTCCGTGTTGCAGACCAAGGGCCTTGTGTAAGTGGGGCAAGCACTCTATTTCTGACTTCCTGTTCGTTTCCTGTAGAGCTAAGGGGGGCATGGGGCCTTGTGTGTGCTGGGCTAACACACTCCCAGATCTTGTTTTTGTAAGGCAAAGAAAGTCTTGATGTTATTTAGGCTGACCTTGAACTCATTATTCTTTGGTTTCAGCATCCCAAGTGCTGGGATTACAGGTGTGTGGTATTGTATTCCTCCAAATATTGTGCATGCTAATAAACTTATCTGGGGTCAGAGACAGAGCAGCCACAATATTAAACACAAAGGATAGGCAGTGGTAGCACATGCCTTTAATCCTAGCATTCCAGAGGCAGAAATCCATGTGTTCAAGGATACAGACAGGCATGGTCACTCATCATGCCATTAATCCCAGAAAGCAAGCCTTTAATCCCAGGGAGTGATGGTAGAAAGCAGAAAGGTATATAAGGCGTGAGGACCAGAAACTAGAAGCATTTTGGCTTGGTTAAGCATTTGGCTGGTTAAGCTTTCAGGCTTCTAGCAGCACAGTTCAGATGAGACCCATTCTGGATGAGGACTCAGAGGCCTCCAGTCTGAAAAAACAAGACCAGCTGAGGATCCGGCAAGGTGAGGAAGCTGGGGCTTGTTCTGTCTCTCTGATCTACCAGCACTGACCCCAATAACTGGCCTCGGGTTTGATTTTTATTAATAAGAACTTTTAAGATTCATGCTACACAGGTGTGTGTTATTAATCCTCAGTTTAGTTATTCATAGTTATTGATTTACATGTGTATGTGTATATAGACCGCCAGAATCAGCGGACAGTTCACTCTCTTCTGTCACCGTGTGGGTCCTAGCTCAGGCTGTCAGGTGTGGTGACCCTTCACTATCTGAGTCATTCCATCAACTGGAGATTTCTCCTTCTCAATAAAGTGTGGCAACACACGCCTTTATTCTCAGCATTCTGGAGGCAGAAGCAGGAGGATCTCTGAGTTCAAGGCCAGCCTGGCCTGCAGACTGAATTCCAGGATAGCTAGAGCTACACAGAGAAACCCTGTCTTAAAAAACCAACCAAGCTGGGCAGTGGTGGCGCATACCTTTAATCCCAGCACTTGGGAGGCAGAGCCAGTCGGATCTCTGTGAGTTTGAGGCCAGCCTGGGCTACAGAGTGAGTTCCAGGAAAGTCACAAAGCTACACAGAGAAACCCTGTCTTGAAAAAACAAAAAAAAAAAAAAAACAAAAAAAAAACAAAAAGAAAAAAAGAAAAACCAACTAACCAACCAACCAGTGTATGGCTCTAATGTTAACAGAAATTCTACTCTTCTTTCCGATTGTAAAGGCGATTACACACACACACACACACACACACACACACACACACACACACACACACACATTCAATTTACCTCACTATGTAATTATGTTAGTAAAAAGTTGTTAATACCAAGACTACAGCTGTGAGAAAGACGTCGTATGTGCAGAGCAGGGTCGTTCCTCAAGGAACAAATCCTTCACAGAAAAGTGCCAGAGAACGCCGGTCTGATGATTAAGCACACTAATAAACACACTTGTAACTAAACAAATTTTGGAGGCAAATTAATCCAACAGCACCAGACTGAAGAGAAAAAATGGCGATCCTGAGGTGGCCACACTCTGCTGTGAAACACTTCCCACCGTGGCGGTGTGCTTGAGAACCCCAGAAGCCTTTGGAATACCCCAAAGCCATAACCGGGACAGAAAACTGCCAGGCCTCCAGCTTGACGCTGCCACCGTCCCATTACCAGTTCATCTTAAGACACTCCATGCCTGGAGATGACAAAGTCTTTGCCTTTCAAAAAGCTTAGAAAATATTCATTAAAGATTTCAGAAAATGAGTGTTTCACATCTCATGGTCGTCACTGTGTAAAGAAGAGTTGTGCAGGATGTTTTTCAGCAAATCCAGTTCTATAATGACACTATCAACCCTTCTTGTGGAAATATGAGGGAGTAAATTGTGATGACATTCTTTCCACTGTAACAATGAATGCCATTCACTGGTTTCTTGACTGATTCACTGGTAAGCACAAGAAATAGTACATTGACTAGCAATTCAGTATCAAGAAAATCTCTTACATTCTAAGAGACTTGAACTTTTGCTGGACTTCACAGCCAGATTAATAATACACCTCCAGGTCACTTAAGACTTTAGACTGAGAGCTTGCTGTCTACCCAGTCTGTTTGTTTTGTAACCTGCCTTTAGGAGAAGAATGTGACACCCAACTTTACTAGCCCTGGGCTTCCCAGTAGTCAGCTTTACAACCTAAGTTAATGCATCACTGTAATCTTAAACTATTCTTTCACTCACCTGACCTGGAGTAATGCATGTGTATCATTTGCTGAGAGCAGCAAATGCAGAGGCTGAAAGCAATCTTATAAAATAGATATCCAAGCCGGGCGGTGGTGGCGCACGCCTTTAATCCCAGCACTCGGGAGGCAGAGGCAGGCGGATCTCTGTGAGTTCGAGGCCAGCCTGGTCTACCAAGTGAGTTCCAGGAGAGGCGCAAAGCTACACAAGAGAAACCCTGTCTCGAAAAAC